GCACAACCCTTGGGGATTAGTATTATGACACTAGTAATCATAATATGTTTGATTTTATCACACTTCATCATCAATCAAGCAATTACACATATTTTATCTAATTTAACCCTCTGGCTGACTAGTGGAAGCAAGTGCTCTCACCTCTCAGTAAAGATGAAAAACCTGAAGCCCAGTGAGCCTGTTAGTTGGTTAAAGTCTTAGGTCTAGGCAGAAGCTGAGCCCAGTCTCAAGTCCAGGTCTTCTGATTCCAAGGTCAGTGTCCTTCTTCTTTTTTTTTTTTTCTTCAGATTTTTATTATTTATTTGATACAGAGAGATACAGTGGGAGAGGGAACACAAGCAGAGGGAGTGGGAGAGGGAGAAGAAGTCTCCCTGCTGAGCAAGGAGCCTGATGCAGGACTCGATCCCAGGACTCTAGGATCATGACCTGAGCCAAAGGCAGACAGACACTTAACAACTGAGCTGCCCAGGTATCCCGGTCAGTTCTCCTTCTGCAATACCCAGCTGAAAACAGAAAAAGAAGTGAGGTGAATCCTGAGGACCTTTAGCAAGAGGAGAAAAAGACACAAGCTGGTTCTGATATGCAGGGAAGGCTTCCTGAAGGAGACAAGATTTGGGGGAGAACCTATAGGATGGATGGGCATTAGAGAAAGGGAAGAGAAGGTCTTGGGCAGAAAGTCAGGCCTTCCTCCCTAAAATGACCTGAAGTGCCCTCAACTCCTGCCTTTACAATTCAAGACAAAAACAACAGTCTGTGCTATCAATAGATCCAGGTTTTGTTGAGTCTGAAATTTGTAATATTGAAAAAAAAAAAACAATACAAATTATAAATATAAAAATGCCCCGGGCCCTCTGGGACAGGCCCCTAAAAATCTTTAGCATCACATAAACCCACCTCTGGTCAGTCACTGACATTCATAAGACCCCAGACACTTTTCAGGAACCATCTGCCAATCTGTCTACAAAGCTGTGAAAGTCTCCTGTCCTCCCCAGAATCCAATTTACAGAAAAGTCCTGTATTACTTAGGATTTGGTTCAGTTGCAAGTAGTGACAACCACCACCACCACCACCACCACCACCACCACCATACCACCAAACCAGTGGCATAAATGAAAGAAAAGGTTACTTCTCCCCATATAAATGTGGACAGTTTGGTTTACATGGCAACTTAATGGTCATCCAGGACACAAGCTCCTTCTATCTTGTTGCATACTTAATGTATGGTTGCTACCTCACAGCCCAAGATGGCTGCTTGAGTCCAATAATCACCTATAGCCAACATAAAGGATCAACTTCTGGAGGACATGCATATTTTTCTCTTTAAGGATAGTGCCTAGGAGTTGCACATATCTCTTATGCTTGCATCCCATTGGTTAGAATTTAGTCACATGGCCATACCAAGAACTATAGTCTTTATTCTGGATGACCATACAAACAACTAAATGTGAAGGGTTCTATTACTAAGGAAAGAGAGGAAGTGTATAGTAAGAATCAATTAGCCACAGAACTCAAGTTCCTTTAAGGAAGACTGTAGAGCTCCCAGTGAAGTCACTAAAAATGAACATGATAGTCATTCCTCTACCACTTGGAAGCAAGATCACACCCAGGCAAGAAATGGTCCATTTCATGCATCCTGCTTCAGGCCCTAATGAAAATCACTGGAGAGGAAAGCTAAACATGTGCAGCTTTCACGACTATTAGTAACCTTAAGCCCTTGAAGGAGCTAACTCAAGTCTCTCTAGCAAACCTGGGTTCAATGCCTAGCTCCATCAAGTTACCAGATATGTGATGCTAAGGTTACTTATGGTTGCAAATGATGGAAATTCAACGCAAATTAGCTTAAATTACATATGGAATTTACTGCTTTGCCCCAACCCAGAAGTTTAAGATGCTGACTAGCTTCAAGAATGACTGCATACAATCACATGACTACGTCTCAGTCTTTGACTCTGCTTCCCTCCAGAGCTGGCATCTGTCCCAGGTGGATTGTATCATCAGGAGCAGCAAGTTCACCAGCAGGGCTTATAGTCTCCCCTGGAGAAGGAGAGTCCTTTTTCTGATTCTCTTAACCAGAGATCCAGAGTTAGCTCTGATTGGTCCAACATAGGAGATCTACATTTGTCCGAGCCCATCACAGTGTCTCTAACTGGCCAGGGAGCTGGGTGGGTTTGGCATCACCTGAATCACAAGGGCTGAGAGTGAGGGAGGAGTGGTTTCCCAAAGGAAACTGGGAGTACTATTAGCAGAAAAGGGAGAAATTATGCTGGTCAGGCAGAGGCAACAGAAGCTCTTTTTTTTTTTTTTTTCATCTCTTAGCATAACACTAACCAGATATGATAATTATAAGAATTAAATGAGATAACATGTATAAATGCATTTAGTATAATGCCAGGCATAGCAGGAGCCTCATAGATATATTTGATCTATCATAAAGAAATAGGGTCAAGAGCCAGTACAGAAACTTCAGAGCAGAAAGCCAGCAAAGGTGGTGATGGCTGGGGACAGACGGAATTGTGCAGCAGTCCAGAGGAGAGAAGTCCCATGATAAAGTATGGGTGTTCCCAGGAGTACACCAGGAACCAGAAGCAGGCCAAGCAGCTTCAGCAGATCAGGGATCAGACCTGGAGCTGAGACAGCTGTGGTAGAAGGGGCAAGGACCAGATATCAGGCAGGGCCCTGGAAGGAATCAGAAACCATTTAGAAGGCTTTGACTGAAGCATTGAATGAAGGGCCTCTTTAGGGAGGTGTAGTCAGAGCTAAGTGAACCCTAATGAGTGTGAAGGCCCCAGATTGCAGCCAAGAGGGTGGCATTTTCCATCCCCCCTCAAGGGGCCAGGGGAGGAATTGCTGAATGCCAGTGAGAACTGGAGGAAGGGGCCCCCTGGCTGGAGCTAACTTCACAGAGCGATACAACCCCTACCCGAACCAGAGCTCTCTCCTCCAGCTTTCTGTCTGCCTGCCCATGACTCCTCTTGGCCAACCCAGAGCACAATGAAACTAGGGTGATCAACCTGTCAAGGTTGCCTTCTAAGGACACAGATAAAGGCGGAGATCTGGAGGAAAGAATTAAATATCTAGTACAGGGAGGGGGTGGGGCGGTGAAATAGATGAAGGGAGTTAAGAGTAAACTTACTTTGATGAGCACTGAGTAATACATGGAACTGCTGAAACACTATATTGTATACCTGAAATGAATGTAACACTATATGTTAACTACAGTGAAATTTTTTCAAAAAGCTTATTTTCATATGTAATATATAGAATTTCTAATATCAGATCAGAAAATGTGCATGCACTTATAAGTCATAATGAATAAATATATTTCAACCTACACTAAAACATATTTTGTCACCAAAGTAGACAGTGTCTAGTATATAATATTTAATATATTTGTGTACAAAGTATGTATCTTTCACTTATCAACTTAAATAAAACTAATGCTAATTTGGTTTAAAAAAAAAAAAGAGGGCACTTGAGTGGCTCAGTCAGTTATGCATCTTCCTTCAGCTCAGGTCATGATCCCAAGGTCCTGGAATCAAGTACCACATTGGGTTCTCTGCTCAGTGGGGAGACTGCTTCTCCCTCTCCCTCTGCCTGCCACTCTACCTACTTGTTCTTTCTCTCTTGCTCTCTTTCTCTCTGTATCAAATAAATAAAAATAAATCTTTAAAGAAAAAAAAAAAAAAAGAAAGACTATCTAGTCCAGCCACATCATGGACCCTAATCCATGAAATCTGCTGCCCCTGACACAAAGCTACAGGGAAAAAGTGATGGCGAATTTTCCTCCTATTCATGATATCCCAGCGCTGAAAGAATGACATGAACTCCAGAAGGTCAAAAAAGTTTGGAGCCCCAGGGACTCTGGGCAACCCAATTTCTCATGGGCAGAAAACCATCCCCTCATCCCAGCCTTACCAAGACCTTTACCTCACAGGCCCTTCCCCAAGGTTTGAGCCAATGAGATGGTGATTGGCATCAGAGTTGGGGGCAGCCTCGATCTTCAGGGAGCTGGGCTAGTCTATGCCTTATTCCTGGAAAGAGCCTCTAAAGACCTGCACACCCATGGAGCCATGATCTCTCATAACTATCTCCAATCTCCTATGCCTAGTCTGCACAACTGGGCTTCCCTTCCACTCTCCATGTGTCTCCTAGCTCCTGGCATAGTTGGGACACGACCTAAACTCTAGCCTGTTTGGCCTGACCCTCTGAAGGCTGTTTTCCCAGCATGGTCCTGGTCCATTATACAATGGTGCTTACTAGAAGGTCTATATGGTGCTTTCGAGAAGGTCTATGTGGTTCAGAGTACAAATCCTGAAGCCAGTGGCTCCACCACTTACTGTGTGCCTTTGTGTAAGTTATTTGACATCTCTTTTCCCTGTTTCCTTTTCCATAAAATAGGGACAATAATAGTACCCACTTCATAAAGTTGTTGTGATAATTAACTAATTAATAGCTCTAAAGTGCTTAGAACATGTCTGACACATGGTCAGAAACTAATGACTTTTACCTAGTATTACTACATTTTGAATGAATGAAAGTTAAGCTGGTTGTGGCAGAAACAAGGGCTGAATTCAGAAAGCTGGTCTTGAATTATTAAACTCCTTCTCTATGGGTGGGAAAAAATGGCCAATATATATTCTCAATTATATTCTACTTGGGTTTGGGGGTATCTCCCTGGAAGGTTCCTTCCTTGATGATGTAAAGCCATGCTCCATGTGCTTTTGTGATTATGCTCATTAACAGGATGAGAAGTGAGGTTATTTTTGGTGTGTCTGGAGACAAATCAGAAAGTCCATAAGAACTAAATTAATCTTTCAAAAGTATCTATTGGTGATCAGTGTGTGTTTACACAGATTCTTTAAACATGATGAAGGCATCGTATGTGCTGCACGCTCTGCTGAAACCAACTTTCTGGAGGCTGAGCAATGTTTAGAGAACTTGTCGAAATAGCTCTTTTAAGCCAGCTTAATAAGCAATGCCCTCCCTGTCCCTCTTTCCAGGCTCTACTGTCACTGACAGTCCCACATGGATGGCGCAGCCCTAGATGGCAGTCAAGGAAGCCAAGGTTAGGAGAAATTGAGCCACCCTCACCATGACTTAATATGTAAAGCAAAGAATGAAACCAATCCACTCTCCTTCAGATCATGGTGAAATTTGGTAATTAAACTTAATTTATCTAAATAATTCAACCTCTAGAGCCCCACCATCTCCTTTTGACTTTAAAAGATAAAACAACAAAGATTCATTTAAAGTTATGAGTATGCTTTCCCAGTTCCTCTCTTGTCACTTCCTGTTTCCACGTTCAGGCCTCCTAACCATCAGCAAGTAGGGTAGGGTTTCTCCACATCACCTTCTGAGGGTCTCTCCTACCACTTCCCTGCCTGGAGATCTCTGACACCAGAGTTGAAGCCCAGAGTCCCTCCTCATACTGTCTATCCAATGAGGGGATGAAAGTTGAGTCCTAGAAGTGTTGGAAAGAATCTTACATATCAGCTAGAATCATCATTTCAACTCACTTGTTAAAGAAGCTGTAGTCCAGGGAGGAGACAGGACTTATACAATGGTTGTTTTAGATCCAAAAATGCAATTTAGATCTCAAAACTTTCATGTATGTTTGTATACATTTATTCCTCAACTGGGATATTTGATGAATATTTTTGTGTATCTGTGACCTGTTGAGCAGAGCCCTCCCCTCAGAGTTTTTATTCTCTCAGGGCACATAGGCCGTAAGTGGACCACTTCCACAAAGATTTACAGCCCAGCGCTCTGCCCCTAAATCTCACAGCTGGTATTTGGACAACAAATTTGACTCTTCTCATCTATAGAAAATGGTACATCTGCAGTTGTGTACACCACTTACAGCTATTCTGACAAGAATGACAATAGCACCACCACTCACTCTAATCCATCTGATCTGTGATGACAAAAACAAAAACGAAAATTCACATACCTAAACAACATCTGTCCCCAGAAAGGTTGTGTGAGTAAAGAAAGAGCGAAGCCTTAGGAACCAGGAAGACCTGGATTTGAAACTCTGATCTATTGTTAATACCTCACGGCTGTGGGGCACCTGGGTGGCTCAGTCAGTTAAGCATCTGCCTTCAGCCTCAGGTCATGAACCCAGGGTCCTGGGATTGAGCCACACATCTGGCTCCCTGCTTGATGGGCAGCCTGCTTCTCCCTTTCCACCACTTGTGCTTCCTTGTGAGTGCTCTCTCTCTCTCTAATAAATATTTTTTAAAAAATACCTCATGGCTGTGTAATGCTGTGTAAGAGACTTTGCCTCTCTAGCCTCAGTCATCCATAAAAAATTTCCTCATCTATTAAAAGGAGCTGATAATGCTGCTTCATAGGGTTATCTAGGATTAAATGAGATAATGGATGCAATGCACTCAACATGGTGCCTGACACACCACAGAGCTCAAAAAGCATCAGTAGCTTTTCTTTCTCTGCCAGTCCCTTTTCCATAGTTAGTGTTGGCAGTTCCATGACTGGTATCTTTGAAGAAATCATGGCATTTAGGAGACTTAGTAAAATAAGGCATCTAAGGGGAGGATCTGATCACAAGGAAAAGCTCAGAACACTTTTCCTTTTGTTTCCTGGAGTTTCGTTTTTTTGTTGTTTTGTTTTTTAAAGATTTATTTATTTATTTGACAGAGAGAGATCACAAGTAGATGGAGAGGCAGGCAGAGAGAGGGGGGCGGGAAGCAGGCTCCCTGCTGAGCAGGGAGCCCGACGCGGGACTCGATCCCAAGACCCTGAGATCATGACCTGAGCCGAAGGCAGCGGCTTAACCCACTGAGCCACCCAGGCGCCCCTGGATTTTTGTTTTTGTTTTTGTTTTTCATGAAAGCTACTTTCTTTGCACATTTATCAATAAGCGCTAGAGTCTGCCCTCTAGTGGTTGTGGCGCACAGTGCCAGTTTTGCTAATGACAATTCAGCGCCCCCAACTTACCCCCATCTGATTAACCTTCAGTGGTGCTTCTTGGCCTAGTCACAACAGATTTTTATCTCGACAGAAAAATTAAACAGGAACAGATGTGACTAAAGTTAATAAGGTTGATTCTTTAACATAGAGGTTAATCCTGGCTGCACATTCCAATCACACACACACAAATACAAAATCAATCCCTGGGCCCTACTCCAAACCAGCTGAATCTGAACCTTTGGGGAGAGGTTTTTAGAACCTCTAGGTGATTCTGATGAGTAGCCAGGATTCAGAATCAGAACTTTCAAAACTCTATTAGAACTTGACAAATGACAGCAAAGACTATGCCCCTGATGCCAGCCCGCCCAGAAGCTCTCCACACTGTCCTTGCTGAAACTGGTTTTGGTCTCCTCTTGGGGAGCTGCTTTCAGACCACATGGCATATATTTTGGAATGATCTCAGTACTGGCAAATTTTTGTCTTTTGACAGTGAATTTGAGTTTGAATAAAAATCCTAAAGTGATTCTAAAATCAAGCCAGCTGAATATGCAGGGCCATTTTGCAAGATAAGCTGGGTAAGACCATTTTTGGTCAAAAACAACATATGGCCGAGGGGATGGATTTATCTCATGCGCCTCAAAACCGACACAGTGGCAATTCTAAAAGAGGGCCCCAACATTTTTATTAGTAACAGCTGTATTGGAGTCTGTGCACTGCTCCCCAAAGTACTGTCTTTAAAAACAATGTTCACCTGGACATGTGAGGTCTGGAGGAACTATTAAAAATCTGCCTCATTCCTTAAGGGCCAAACTTACATTCAGAACTGGAAGGGGGGAAAACTGGAGGAAGGGTCAGAACAGGACAGTCCCTGGGTTTTATGGAACTCTGGTCATCATCCCAAACTGCCAGAATCCAATTTGCCACATTGGAGAGGGACCTGCTGTGGGCTGGCAGAGCAGTGACCTGCGTGGGGAGCTACTGGGGGGTCTCTGTCCAGGAGCACCAGGACTTGGCTTCTTGGGAACCTCGTTGGCTAAGCAAGATGACTAAATACTGCATTGTGATTTTTGTTGGCCCTCTAAGCCCTCATAATGAAATTCTCTAACGCTGTATCAGATAAATCCGAACTGGTGAGAGCACAAGACACCGGTAAGCCCTTATCATCCATCGTAAATCAATGGTACTTTATTTCCAACTTCAATATTTTGCAGTAATTTTCTTTCCCAAGAGAGATTTTATTCCTGTCTCCCACCTTCTCAATCTAATGTGATCAGTAACTACTGGGCCCTCCTGCCGCAGTCTCCTGCCTCCACAAAGACATTTCCCAATGTGTATTCCAAGGAACTGTGATTTTGAAGCACCAAGTTGCTTACTCCTTTATTCCATAAGGATTTATTGAGCACCTCATGTGTTCCAGGCAGGAGCAGATTTAGGTTTTGTGGGACCGGAAGCCGCACAATCACGGAGGTCTCTTCTAATGAAAGAACACAGAATTGTAAATACAAAAGTAGGTCCTGGACCTTGGAAGGGACATCCCGGAGCTTAAATTCTATTACTTCATGGTGCCTTTGTGAACTATTCCCGGATGTGGGGTTATAATCATGAATAAAAGACCTGCCCATGTGGAGCTCATATTCTAAAAAGGTAGAAATAGAAACAGGAGATTAATTGAATATAGAGGAGAAAAAAAAAATCCATGGATATATGTTTGGGAACTAAGGAACCAAACAAAATTAAACTTATTTCTTCATTTAAGGGCTTCTCAGGGCCGTTAGAAGGCTGACGTGCCCCATGACCTTCCAAGAGAGGAACTGTGTTTGCATCATTCCCCAGCATTATTTATCAGAGAATCCTTCTTTTGTGAGACATCCCTGGAGACTAAATTCTGTAAACCCACTTTGGAGGAATCCCGCTCCGTAATGTACTGGAAGCTCAGCACATGACATCATCCGTCTTTTGTCGGCCGTGAAACTGGGTCCCCTTCTTGTTTGGGGAAAGCATTTGGTTCTTGCGCTAATGAAATAATTTAAATCATTTCTCATTATTGTGGTTTTCTAACTCCCCCTCTGCTGTTTTAGGCATTTGGAACACTCATCTGGTTCCAACATTTCAGACTATAAATCTCAAAATGCACGTTTCAAAACTTTTCCAATCAGGACTCGGATTTTTACATAGCATGGGTTCCGCTTAAGGTAACATGAATTCACCTTATGAGGGATTCTCAAATTTAGAAATGCAAAATACCAGGACGCCTCGTGGCTTTGAAATCATCTGTTATCCTGAAGAATCACAGAAGAGTCAACATTTGGGGTCATAAATCTGCCTTCGCACCTCCCTCCAACCAGGGCGAGAAGGCTCTTGTGTGAGGCCTTGCTTTCCAGTGGTAAGAATTATATTTGTCTCGGGTGCTGGTTCCAGAGACATCTGTGATGGCAGCCCATCCAGCTCTGTTCTCAGGGAGCTAACTTTAGCAGCAGATTCTGCATCTGCTGGCGGAGTTTGACACAGCATATGTTTTCCAAAGCAGCCCTTCCCAATAGCTGACTCCCTTCTCATGTGAGGACATTTAATATATCCTGAGAACTAATCAGCTCCCCCCACTTCCCAAACGTTTAAGCTATTTTTAATTTCATCCAATTTAACAAGCAGTCATGTCTGGAGCCCATCTTTTGATTTCAAAATAAATAAAAAAGAGTTTCTCTGACTCACAATAGATTTCACCTCTGGGAAGGCCAGCAAATTTATCCACACCTTTCTCCAAATAAAAGTCCTTCTCTCTCATGCTTCCTGACATCCTTGTTAACCCTTTAAACTCTCCAGGAGATTAAATACAAGTGAACCACCATTGCGGTGGTTTTAAAATATGTCTACGATTTCTTCAATTCTTCTCTCTTCAAAAGGTGGAGCTTAATACCCCTCTCCTCGTGTGTGGTCTGGACTTAGTAACACACACTTCTTACAAAGGGAAGTGTGTGACTTCCAAGGCTGCAGGATCAAAGGCACTGTGGCCTTCTTCTTGAATCACTCACTCTGAGGAAAACCAGCTGCCATCACGACACCATTCAGGCAGATCTATGGAGAGATTCTCATGTTGAGGAACTCAGACATCCTACCAATAGCTAGCCAGAATTTGGCCCTGACATTTTGAGGGAACCATCTTCGAAGTGGATCCTTCTGCCCATCGAGGCATCAGAAGACTGCAGCCTCAGCCAACTCCTTGATTTGCATCACATAAGAGTCTCTGAGAAAGAATCACCCAACTGAGCCACTCCCAGGTTTGTGACCTACTGAGTGAGATATGTATTATTGTTTTAAGCCATTAAGATTTGGGATAATTTGTTACACTGCAATAGATAACTAATACAACCATCTTA